GTACCCTGTATAAATAAAGGTCTTAAAAGGTATTGAGTAAACTCAGCCCAGGCTTCTTATGTAGATTAGTATTGATCAGACAGTCAAAAAGGTGACAGAGGTCATGTTTAAGTTAAGGTCATCTAATGGATTCTTCTGTGTCCCCGTAAGCCTGGTGTCAATGTAACTGACACTTTACACTGATAACATTCAATCTGTGTTAGCATTACCAACCTCTGGGTGAGTCTCCTCCATGCAGAACAAAAACTCCTCCAGTTTCTGCAGCAACAGAAAACATGTGTTGAGGCCACATAGTCATAAACCTACTCATAAATTCTTGAAAATGCTGTTGTGCTGGCTTTACAGTACAGTATACTGTATGTGCAGCATCATCATAATGAGAAGAGGTTGTAATTATTAATCACCCAAACTGGTGAGAAGAAACTAGATTAACTGGCTCAACTATACTGCACATCCCTTTGTTAGTATTCAATGTCATTGCACATTCTTCACTAAAGAACGAGGTAATTACTGTGCCTGCTGAAAGCTAACATATTGTTTGTGGCGTTAGGGTAAATATATCAGAATGAGGAGTAAAAACACATGATAATCAGTAAAGTTTTAATTTAAAACAGTTGTAAAACAGTTGTATAACATGTAGCAGCCTCCACAGATGCTGTTGGTAATCTATAACTTCTCACACTGCACCTGATAATAAGACCCTCTAAAGACTTACAGTGCATAAGTAGTTTTGCTTGTGTCTTTGTTCATTTTGACAATATTTTCTGCAAACAAATTCAAAGTCAAATTGTGACTCATCTGTAAAGAGATGCCCTGAAATGATTCACACTAAAATCTAAAACTTACAGTACTATAAACCGCATTTTTGCATCTATGCAGGATTCACAGAAAATGTTGCTACACTGAGTTCTAATGTTTCTAGCTCGGAGGGCACAGAAAGAAAAGTGTGATGGTTGGAGACAAAGGAGAGAAGTGGTTGGCTATCTCACCTTTTAGTAGCTGGAGAAATGTTAGGAGGGGCTGGGCTTTAGGAGGACAAAGAGAATCAGAGAGAAACAAAGGGGAAGCAAAAAGACAAACCCATGCAGTGTATAAAATTCAGTCAGAAAATGCAAGAAAAGAATCAATCAAGGTGTGTATTAATGGATGCATAAAGCAAGACGGTGAGACAGGTTAAAGAGGTTGCAGTACAGTAGCAGAATTAACAATGAAAACACAAACGCACAACCTCCAGTTTGAATGCATGCAAGAGGTAGATCTGCCAGCAGCACCAGTAAAGATCCTTGGCAAACATTTGTTAATGGCCACATTCCAGTAAATCCATACTGCAATAGGTAAATAGTAAAGTATCAACTACTGCTGAAAAGCAGCAAACATTATGTTAAATCACTATCTGTGAGCCAAGCTAACAAAATATAGCCTCACAGAAACATGTCTGGCAAGTGTACTATATTTTTATTAATGCTGGCTGTGTTGGCTTTGTTCCTATCTCAGACGAGTCTGTCAGACTATGTGGGTGGAGGAGAGTGTGAGGAGAGGAGAGAATGAGTTGGATGCAGCCCTGAGGCAGTGAACCTCAGCTCACTGTGGGACAGACCAGCGCAAAGAATTCACACACACATGCATACATACACACACACATCACACATATACATTCCCACTAAATGCATGTAATCATGCATAAACACTCTGAAATGTGCACTCTGTAAAATGAAAGCATCCAAAGAACACAAAATATTTCCAAATGGGCGCCTCCCTCACACCCACATTATCCTTGTTTGAAAATACCTTGGAGCGAACGTGTTAATAGACTGCTGCTCATCTCAGTGTAGTCGATGGGCTGTTATGTTCTAACTGCAGCTGAATGTATTCATGCAAAAGGTCCTCTGCTGCCAAGTGGCAAGACTGACTGAGCAGGCGCACTTAATTTGAGGTCATGCTTCATACCACGGTAAAAGAAAAAATGCAAGTGAAACAGGCTGTTTTCTTTTGACCTTTCAATGGTGAAGATGGGTTATATGTAGAAAATATGTAAGACTTCACCAACGGAAAGCCTCAAAAGGGCACCTTCAGGTTATTCTGAATCTCATCTACACTCTGGCACACATACTGTAGGCATTTATGTGAATAATACACTGTATGTGGCTAACGAGACATTTACTGTTGTGTTACCTTAGTGAACTCTGAGTTCTGTAAATTAGCCTCGGGACACCAGCGTCCTCCCAAAGCAGTCAGCATGGCACAGTCTTCTTCTTCTTCTTTTGTGCATGGCTGGGTTGGAGCATAACCTATTGCGTTAGGGAGGTCTTCAGTGTCTGCTCCACTGCAGCTAGGAGTCCACAGCTGGAGGCCTCGCAAGAACAGGTGACACGCTTCCAGATCGGCTTCCCAGATCCGCTCTAAGCCCGTACAGCCACAGCTAGAGAGAAAGAGTAAAATATTTAAATATAATACTTTAACTACAATAATGCTTTATACAGTCACAATTTTAATTATAGATTACAATAAAAATGTTGACAAAATAATGTAACAAAAATATTCAGGGCTATATACTGCACTGAAGTGAGGTGACAATTAGCTTAGCATTAAGACTGATAGAGGGAAACAGTCAGCCCTCCTCTGTCCAGTGTTCGAAAATACACATACCAGCACCTCTAGAGCTTGCTAATATTTAAACATGATTGTTTAATCTCTACACAGAGAGAAATGGAAAACTGTCAAGTAAATTCCTGTTTGGGTACAGAAATGAGATATATTGTGTTAATCGGTGACCAGTGGACCTGTAGGTATATTGTTGGACTGAGCAAAGCTAGCTGTTTTCCTTTGTGTTAAGTTAAGCTAATGGCCTCCTGGTTGTAGCTCAGTACTTAAAAACAGACATGAGATTTATATCAGTCTTGTGCAAATGTGCACTGAATAAACATTCATAAGGATATAAGAAACTAAACATACAGGATGTTGTGCAACAATGTAAACATTGCATTCACACTAATATTGGGACAATAGGACTTGTAATTGTATGAAAATCCTAAAATAATGCATGGAGGTACATACAGCACAGTATTCATGTCATAACTGTGAAGGGCTACATGACATCTGAGCACAGAAAAGGACATCTTTAATAGCATATCTATAATAAAGCACTGACAAAACAGTGATGGGGAGGACTGAATTATTCCAGGATTGTAATTTGGTTGACAAAGGGTAATGAGTGTGAATGTCCTCCTGGTGGGATGCCCTTTTCTTCAAAGAGCTGTGGTAGAGAGAGAAAAGAGAGCCTGACTGTGTTCATCTCAGCTGGGTCACTGAGCAGGAGTTCACAGGGAGGACAAGAAGATTGTTATTTGTTTATCTACTCACTGAGTTACGACCATTCATCCCTTTATACTCTTCCTCCCCCGGCCCTTGTGGCATTGCAGATACAAGCTCAGAGTGTAAAAAGAGAAGAGAACAATTAAAGCCTCTTCATCTAACTCAATGTATTATTTAGAAAAATGAGCAATATTGTCACTGAGTTCCCTGTTCATCCTTCCATTATTTAGGTCAGCAGGTCAGTATGTAAAAGTAATTATTTGTGTTTTATACTAACACCAGATACTCAGTGGCGTATGATAGTCCACTATGGTGATGGTGACAGTATTAAAGCAGGTTTATAACCAAATGTTTTTGTCTTTCCAAAACTGAAACACCCTTCCAATGACTCATATGTGAGGTCCCCGACCTTTAAAATATTCATATTTATTCCCCTTCTTCTTTCAGTGACCTTTAGATAACAAATCATTCCCAAATAATTTTGGTCCCAAGTGACTTTTTAGGACTCACTGATCTTGTTAGAAATTCTTGTTTTAATATGATTTAAAAGAAGCTCCCCACTGAAGAACCTAAATGTTTCCAAGTCTCTACTTCTCTCATCAGTAACAACCTTGTATCCAGGAATCCATCTTGTGCAGCAAACAAACTAATGCTGCCAGGATGTAAGGACAGAGATGTAGGGTTTGTACATGAGAGGCATCAAACAACTTAGGAAGAAACATCCTCCATCTCTCTGTCTGTGCTGATTTCTAACCCAGGAGGAGATTCTCTGTCACAAACACTAACTCTCACATTGAGTGATTTAGAGTGTTAGAAAAACAATTTCATACTCTAACCACAAATATACTTACATATAAGCTGCTATAATATATTCATTATTTTCACCTAGAGTGTGCATCCCTGCTGTGCAGCTGAATCTGAGAAACCGCTAGTTCTGCATCATGTGGAAACAAGCTCCAAGTCAAGACGCACCCAGACAATATTGTTTAATCTCTCCCTCTGTTCCTTCTTCTCTTGGTGGTGAGACCCCCCTGAAAATTGAAAGCCACTTATTTTCCAGCCCATCGCCTGCCTGAAAAGGCTGCCAACCTCTGTACCCTACCAGCACACACCTCTCAGCCGCTCCCTAACCTTCATTTGGCACACAGACAATAGAAAAATTGCTCTGCCCAACCCCCCACCCCCCACTCTGCCCTCGCCAGTTCACCACTCAGCACCGCTGCTTCTGAATTCTGCTATAGTGGGGATGCACCCACTGAGCCATGCCATTGTTATTTGTCTCTTCTGAAGTGGAAAGGGGCGCACACGCACACACATATGGGTGGGCACACATGTTAACTTACACACACACATACCCATAAATCATTTTCTCTGTGGGGTTTTGGTGTGCAATCATAAATGTCAAAGCCAGCCTCATCTATCACCAAAGTTCATCTTCAGTTACAGCCTCAGATTATTACATACTATAACTGGCATTAGCATTAGGGCTCTGTGTATTGAAAACTAAGATAACATGTCAGTGCCTAAGCACCCCTCTGATGGTGGCTCCTGGTGCCTGGCGGTATGAACTCCTCACCCTGGGGTTAATTGGTGGCAGCCACTCGACCTGCCATCTGACGGTAGCAGGGTGTGGGCGTGCTGCTTTGCTGAGGGCTCAGTAATAAAAAGGAGACACTTGCAGACACACTCCTCCTGCAGTCTCTTCCCCTCCTCTGGGACCACTGACTGACAGGACTGCTCTTTCTCCTCAATGCAGCACATGCGCGCACAGACAGCTATGGGGGAAGGATTATGAATTTAAGTGCTGGTCCTGCTGGTGCCAGCAGGTTTAGTCAGACCTCTCCAAAGTGAAAAGGCACAAAAAAGGCTCACACACGCTCCAGCCAATTTTCTGAAGCCTAGCCAGCAGCAGGTCAAACAGTACGTTCAGCTGCATCTTCAGGTTTCACACCTGAATACCAATAGCACACAGGCTCTTTTTTCAGTCACTGCTTGAGTTTTTCACTATCTGAAGATCAGGCTCTAAGTGTAGTTTTGGTCAAGTAAGTACCAACTCTCTAAGAAAATGGTATGAATGAAACCAAATGAATGCAACTTCAGTGTCAGGCCAGTGTCTTTCATATTAAGGAGACAGAAAAACCTTAAACACAATGAGAATTTGCTCATTAGAAAGGAAAAAGGAGATAGGAATATTTCATCTTAATCATGCAGCAACATCTCACATAACACCAGCTGAGAAGAGGTGTTAATAAAGTTTAGTAGTGATAGCTGGATGGGGTGTGGATGAAGTGAACTGTTTATAAGGTTTGATTTCTGAGAAGCAACCATGTCCCTCTGTCCAAAACACTTTAATGTATAAGAATTATGTACATTAAAAGTGTTAATATAGTTTTTTTTACCATTGCAATAAATATGATAAATTGCATCCAAATCTCACCAGAAGAATTCATAACTGTAGTAAAAATATGAGATGCATTTACTAATGAAACATCTGCACAATATATTAAACAACTGTGTTGTGCCACTAATCTGAATAAAATGTTTTTTGTTCTGGTGACACACTTACAGTACAGCATCTGTGCTGCTCTGACACCCTGCTCTAGTCTTTAGCAAGGAAGAGATAATTGGTTTTTTCAACATCATCCGTCTCCACGGAGACCAGACATCTCGCCAGTACTAATCTGCCTCTCTGCTCCCCACCCCCTCTTCTCCCGTCATCACAGCACTCCATCAACGATAATGTACATTAGAGCTGACTGACACAATTTACAGTGGATGATGGCTGCGTGTGTGTATCTGTGCATGCGGGGGCAAGTGCTCATTCAATCAGGGCAAATATGTGGCACTGTGCCAAACTGTAGCTGGTGGAAGCTACTGGTCGTCCCCCCGAGCCAGAGCTGTTTTTATGATTTGATCTGGACTGACTCTGGTTATAGAAGCTGCGAGACAATCAATTATTGTAGAATGTGAGGAGGATTCAGGAAATTACTTTAGAGTACCCGGTTCCTTTAATGTGAGATAATGTTTACCATGTTCACAGTCTAAATTTAGCATGCCAGCATGTTTGCTCATTGGCACTAAACACAAAGCACAGCTGAGGCTGATGGCAATGTAATTAGTTTTGCATTTATAAACCAATATACAGCATTGGACAAACTGATATTTTGACCTGGTGATAGCAATATATGAAAAGTTAATTCACCAAAGTGTTTATAATTCTTCCTGCAAGTGACTTGAGTATCCATCCAGTATAGACTTTTCACCACATACAGTATATGAATCACATGGTGTTGGTAAAAGAGAAGTAAGTGTGACTCATCCTGTGGAATCCATGAAAGTCTGCACAAAATTTGCATTACCATCCACCAACATCCTCAGAGCCGTACTGCAAGTTTGGTTAAAAAATAACCCTGGTGATGTCATCAGTTAGGTCCGCCTGGGTTTGGAGACGTCACATAACGAAAAGTCAGCATTACAGACCAGAAGTGTGGATTCTGAAAGCCACTGGCATTTATCAGACAGGGAGGGTCTGCTGAGTTGCATTATGGGAAGTGTAGAATCTTGTTTTATTGGCTCTTTACCCAAATTACAAACTGAAAATCTTCAGTTTTGACTATTCCTTTTTAAATTTGACTCCAGCTTTATGAAATCTCTGGAGGATGACTAAATAAAGAGAGGGAGTTGTGGTCTTTAAACTGTGTTATGGGTCATAAATTCTGTGTTGAGGATGGTATTTTGTGACTGTAATGATTTTCCCTGGTTATGTGAGCTCTTATTATGAAGTTTCCATCTACTGAACTTATCTAGTTCTGCTTTCTTGTAGTGTACACTGTATACATGTTGTGCTTTTTGTAAAATATCCTAAAAAATGCCTCTTAATGCCAGTAATTTTGCTAGTGCTCTCAAACTGTTGTCTTCACAGTTTTTACATTAGGTACATGGTACAGCCAGGTCCTCTGTGAAAAAGCAGACAAACAGAAACAAAAAGCAGCCATCATATTGACAGACATGCTTCCCTGCTGGGCACTGAGATTGTAGCCATGTAGCCATGCAGACCGCTGTCTATGCATCCCTAAACTACCAACAAACAGCCCTGCAGTGTGTGAGTGACTCCTGGCTCCTGTCTGAAGAGGTGACCCTGCCTTTGCAAGGATACAGCACAAAAAGCTGCCACCACTAACACAAACACACACACCACAAAAAGAGACACAGGTCAAGCAGAGACAAAGTGTCAGCTTACTGTAGGCTTTTCCTAGCCCACAGTAAGCTCAAGCAGCCTAACCTTGCTTTATAAAAGAGGAGAGTAAGTGGAAAGCATGGGTCATAGGGTCTCATCACAGCTGCTTGCTGCTGTCTGTCTGCTGAAAAGATGAGCTAAAAAGTTCATAATCACCATAAGGAAGCATAACCAGGCTTATGGTGCCTCTGTTTAAAAAGTCAGCCACTCAGCACATCACAATACAAACTATCAGGCAGGCTGGTCGACCACCTGCAACACAACAGACCTGTCCTCAGTGATTTAGGAGCTCTGAGACACAGACAGAAACAACGAAACATTGAGAAAGAAATTATGCTTTGTCTAAAGTGATTTATAAAGAGGAGGGAGAAAGTGTGCAAGCTAAGCTAATGTAGAGGTATAAAAAAATAAAGGTATAGAAAACATGTGAGAAATTGGAAGAGAAAGATGAACTATGCAGGTGAGAGACAGAGTGAAATGTGAGAAAAGGGCTCTGGGAGACAACAGCATAAGAAAAAGTGTGAGTACATGATGTGGTGGGTGGGGTGCTGTGAAGTGATGCACTGGGGAGACGGCACTCTGCTTATAAGACAACAGAGGAGAGAAGAAATTCCTTGGAGGCTATTGCTTTGTTTATGTCTCCTTGTTTTTTTTTTAAAGCAAAAGATGGGATAAAAGACTTTACCTGCGCAATCTGTCCTCCAATAGCTCAATATATTTGGCAGTGTTCTCTTTCAGAAGGCTTTCTGTATGGAGAGACAAGCACAAAGAGAACAGAATGTTACTTCATTTACTGCTTTTATTAGCTACAGTGAGGTAGAAACAAAACACAGCACTAATAGCATTAAACCTGACTTGTCATAAGCTACTGTATATTGTACATTAGGAAGGTAGTCATCCGAGTTGGCAGTGGCATTGTGATGAGAAATTGCAGCAGTACAGTTCAGTACAGAGATCCAGCTGGCTGTCTCTAAAGACAAACACACAATTGAGATAGATCATTCTTGCTGCTCTAGGAAAGGATGAAACCAAAGACGGCCTGAGGATAAAAGGGGATTTTATTATGGCATAGGTCCTTAAATTGTGCCAGAGTTTCTGTGGAGCAAAAAGCTGGAAGGATAGCTTATGTTGTTTCCTGTGCCCTTCTGCCAGGACCGAGCTGTGCCTGAGGAAGGAGATGCAGGCTGGCTGAGCGTTAGTCAGGGTGGAGAGGATGGCAATCTGAGTGATGTTAATTAGCTCATGTATGAAACATGAGAATATGCCCCCCCGGAAGCAGATCTTTGAACACAATAGGATGCGTCACCCTCTAGTGCAGTGGTTCCCAGAGATCATTGGAGAGTTCATAAAATGGAAAGAAAGAATCGGTACACATGGGGGAGACCAGGGATGATTGTAACACCGGGTAAGCTGTAACACTGCCAGTCTGACCAGTCAGAAAAGAGCTGTGGTGATGTTATCACTACCAACAATTCCCAGTTTCTTTTTGAGCTGACAGGAGATGTGATATGTCTCTGTGAGCAACACTGTAGATTTTATGAACAAAAAACTGATTTTCAGATATACAAGTAAAAAAAATATTTTCAAGATTATATTTTGTCTAGTTTTCATTGGATTGTAGATACAATGGTTTGACTTATATTACCTAAAGCTGCAGTTTCTCTAGTTTAATTTGATGCTAACTTCAAACCCACATGCTAAAACTGTTAGCTATGTAATGGCTGTTTGGGGTGGGGATGGTTGCTACAGTGCATCTCCATATGACCATCCCCTTAACCCCTGAAGGCCAGTGACCAAGAGATTCTGACACCTCTGGTGAAAAAAATCTTTGCACTATGTGCATGAACACTTTGCAAACCCGAGGGCAAAAGAAGAGTGGATCAAAGAGGTACTCTGTCAGTTCAGGGCCCACAAACCCTCCACGCCAGGGGCAGTGACTACATTTGTCACATCTGTGACAGTGATTTAACCTTTAAGTTACACATGTACATTCTGAAATACAACCCCTCCACCCACCCACCAACACATCCACACACACACACACACACACACACACAGACATTGCAGGTCTTTACACTGACTTACATTAATTTCTTAGAGACTTACCCTTATACCATTTGAACAGCTGACTTTATTCTCGTTGTTACGTCCATCCCCAGCTAGTATTACACCTCACCCCAGTAGTGGGGTAGGCTGTAACAACAGAACTCTTTGTATCTGACATTAACTCACATAATCTGTGATTGTGTAGTTGTCATCCAAGTGAGTTTTAGCTGTAGTAGACAAATATAGGTACCATGTATCAAAGTTTGAGAGAACTAGCACAAACAGCCACTGAAACAAACGGTAGTGGTGAACGGTTAGGCCTACTTCCAACTGGCTGCAACTCCAGGAAGTTATTGCACCCAAACTAGGAATAAACCAGCATGCAATGCTTTTTTAAATGCTTTAAACAAGCAAGTTAATTAGTGAGATTTAAAGGTGCTGGCTAGCTAAGCCAGGCTAACCCATGCTTTATGCTCAACTAAGCTCACAGACTGCTGGCAGTAGCTTCCCATTTTCTTTACAGATATGAAACTGGCATCTATTTGTGCCTATCTATCATGGTATAAAACAAGGATGAAGGGTCGAAAGTAGATGAAGCTTCATTTTAAGGAAACACAAGCCAAATATGGTTAGGAATGATTCTAGTGTAAAGCCACTTGCTCACATTGAGAGAAAGTCACCTAACTGGGTGTTCTGAATCACGCTGAGGTTTGAAATATAATTTGAATCATCATCTTGATGGTGGTTATAAGACAGTATGGGCTCTGGGATGAGACAGGATGGGGGCTGGCACAACAGGAAGAAAAGGAAAATGTCTGAGAGAAAGTGGCTGTGACACACACTCACACATACAGTAGTCATTTCTGTCCATGCTTGGGGGGAAGAAACGAGATGGAGGCAGTCATGCTATTTATGGGCATTGCATGTGTGTGCCACAGAAAGCAAGAGCCTGAGAGTTGTTTTCATTCAAAGTGGCCAAATCCGCTCACTCACTGGGAATAGCGAAGCTGCCGGAGCAGCTATCACATATCAGGTGTACGTGGACCAGACAGCTCATTTACCATCCCTCTAATTGCTGTGTGAGATCTTAGCCTACCTGGCAGAGTCTCTATTGTCAACTTTCATTCAAGCCAGCTCGACTGAGCATCACTGAATAATACATAGGGGCATTAAGCCTGACTTTGTATGGTGCAGAGCAAGTACATATGAGAGATGACACAGTAGGCTACGGCTCAAACAAGAACAAGAGCCAGATTTAGTCATGCAGTCAGGAATAGAACCGGTCAGAATATGAGGGAGACAGACACGAGTGGATTAACAGCTAACTTATTATTTCTTCCTGTGCTGATACGGTTATCCACAGAGGAGCATCAGTGTGCCATCCTGTCACTGCACCGACTGGAGGCAAAACTAGCAAGCCTTTTTGTGCATGACAAATGACAATAATATTTTCTTTATAGAATGGGACAAGACATCAGGCAACCTCCTCCAGCGCTGAGTGGAAGCAGAGCACTGGGGGGATATTACCACATACTGTAAGTTTGCAGGAGCTTGCTGTTACTGGGAGGCCATGCAAATAAAATCGGCACTAAAAAGCCCATAAAGAGGAGAGCCACTCTGTTAATCCCTGATACTTGCGGCAGTACATTTGGTGTTGAAGGAACCTCACGAACACATTCAGAGAGTCCATGTTGGAAAATTCAAGAGGTCAGCTTGCTCTCACACCAAGCAGCTCCACAGAAGCCAAGAACCCTGGCCAAAATGGAACAGGCCTCTCATTCATAATACAAGAACATTAAGACACTAATGAAACATAACGAGAATGTGTTACTGGATGTTGCGATAAGGCCATTTGTTTCATACAGGTCAAAATAGTCATTCATTAGTCTAATGAACAAATAATTACTTCAGCCAAATAGATGTAAAGTTATTAAAAGAATGATGAATTAGTCATTATATTCAGTGATGTAGACAGACAAATCAAATGGAGCAGATATTTCACAGAGATGCACAATTCCCGATGATGAAGTTATGGACTTTAATGAGCCTGCAGAAGTTAATGATGGCAAGGTGTTTGGATTTGCTGCTGCATTCTGAGCATTTGAACAGCTCTCTAACTGAAAGTGAATACTGCAGTCATTTCTTCATTGCCTTGTAACCATAAACGCACCCAGCATCTATGAAGCCTTTATGTTGTCAAACAAATTAGAGGCAGCCCAGTGCTAACACAACACTGCCAATATGCGTGTTATAAAAGCCTGCGTATAATAAGGCAGAAGAGAAATTATGTGTCTTTGTAATTGAGTTGAAGGCACTGACTGTGATTAATGTGTTTAAGCTCAGCTCAGGCTGTTTGAGTGCAACAGCGCTGCAGGTAGCACAAACACACAGTCAGCACATGCAGATACTCACACTGTGTGAGTGTATCTGAACTTAACAGCAGCCCAGGAGCATAGCTAATGGAGGAAGAGGAACAGGCTGATATCTCAGACAGACCCTCAAAAACCCATGATGCTTTAAGGCCATGTGCTCACCAAGCATCGCAGCGCACAGATTGCAGCTGGCACGGCGTAACATATTGTGGGCCTCTGCATGAACGCACAACAAAAGGAGTCAAATTAGCTGTGTGTACAAAATCTGTGCTTAGGTGGAAATATATATATTTCAGCTTTGGGTGAAAAATTATTTTAACTGAAAGGTTAGACATGCTCGCTGTCATTATGACTCAGGTGGAACTCATTAAACAGTTTGTTTGGAAGAAACTTCCCTTGCCGCTGGGTGCAAAATAACAGTTTCTCTGATGTGGGTAGAACTCAGAATCCCAAAGTATAGGAACTCTCCCAGAAATGTGCATGCTCTAAAACACTCAACATTTCACCTGTTCACCATCCTGCTCCATTAAATCGTCATCTTCTTTCATTTGGGGAAAGGCCAAGCACGAGGATGATGTATTTTCTACAAAAACATGTTTGAATTTGTCATCTCCCTCCAGAGCAGCATTTTGTCTAAATAAAACTAAGAAGCTTTGTGAAACTGTACTAAATGCTAACATCTGCAAGCTATCATAGTCACAACAATGCAGTGAACATAACATGTATAATGTTTGCCAGAGGTGGGAAGTAACTAATTACATTTACTCACTTGCTGTACTTAAGTACAATTTTGAGGTTTCTGTATTTTTAGTATTGTCATTTTCTGCTACTTCATACTTCAACTTCACTATATTTCAAAGAAAAATACGTTGTACATTTATTTGATAACTTTAGTTACTACTTACTTTTCAGAAAGAAGTTAATAAAGCAAAATACAGTATAATCACAAAAGTTATTCATCCTTGGTATAAAATTTATAAACTACCCAGCAGTAATTAAAATTATAATCATATAAGACAGTTAGAATCTCTACCTTTACTAGCAGCAGCATTAAATGTGATGTACATAGTGATACTGTACATCAATAATTATAATATCATAATATGATGTTGTTCGTCTGCGTGTTGGCCCTGCGATGGACCGGCGACCTGTCCGGGGTGTACCCCGCCTTTCGCCTGATGCCGTCTGGGATTGACCCCAACCCCCTCTGTGACCCCGTTTGGGACTAAACATTATAAAAAATGAAATGAAATGAGATAATATGATGCACATCTATTTAAACTGAGCCATTTTGCATAATGAATACATTTGGATTTCAAAACTTTTAAAAGTATTTTTATACTGTGGTATTGCTCATTTTACTTAAGTAAACAATCTGAGTACTTCTTCCACCACTGATGTTTGCCATGTTTACCATCTTAGACTGTAAGTATGCTAATATTTTAGCACTAAACACAAAATACAGCTGAAATTGAAGGGAATGTTATTAGTTTTACAGGTATTTGGTCATAAATCAAAGTATTGGAATACTACAATTCTAACCAGTAGTTGTTAAGAGTCAGCAATCTCGGTCTGGAACAAAATGGAGAGCTGAGGGACAACACTGTCCCTAGAGTCATGCTGCTAGCATGGCTTAAAAACAAGTATCTGTTTAGAACTTGACTTTGTCTGCAGTCTACCTAGAAATAAAATGATTGATGCATTGGTGGGAGCTATTGTAGTAGCAAGTCAATCAACTTTTGCTGTGATTCCTATGGGTCTGGATGCTACAGTATGTTACCCCTGACAAAATCACAATGGAATGACATCCTTCACTGAATCACAGAAAAAAATGAACACTGCCAAAACGCCTGAGGCAAAACCAGGAAATATTCTCTTGGGTCCACTTAACCACTGCACCACTCTCAATCATTCAGACACTCGTTAGGAGAAGAGCTGTCACACATTCCATCATGTTCTCAACAGAAGCACCATGAAAGAGGCATAGTCATGAATAAATCATATCTGTACATCTTCGCCTTGACTATTGACACTCCATTAAGAGGAAATTGCATTTGTTTAATAACGCAGAGTGTCAGTACAGTATTTTTATGTGCACTTCAGTTGTTGGACTGGTATGCACAGTTGAGTTTGGCCTGGATAGACTCCACCAAAGTCCTGCACAGACTGGGCACTGTGTGCAGAAAGACTAGGTGGTGGAGATCCAGCAAAAGACAAGAAATAAATAAATAAATAAACGTGCTCCAGTGGAGCCACCTGGAGCAGACAATCTGCTGTCTTCATAGGAGAGAGCTAATTTACCTGCTACAGAATATACTGCCTCCACGCTAACAATAGCAATAAATAAGCATTTAGAGAATTCTTGGATAAATCAAGGAGAACACACACTGATACTGGCTCCACACGTGAATGTCCTCACTCCTGGGGGTCATTTAGTCATCTTGTTCAGCTTCTCAATTATTTATTTGTAAATTTAGCATCACTCCAGATCTCTCCTGGGGATGAAATGATACTCTCAGCAGGGAATCAGACCTTTGGCTATAATGGGTTTGGTATTCATCAGAACTGACGCCAGTGGCAATTAGGGACGTAACGGCTCCCAGGCTAAAACCACCCCACACCACTAAGTAGGCTGGACGGAGATGCTCAACAAGCTGAAGCTGTGTAGTTTAGCTGAATGTATGTGTATTGATTTTGTCAAGATACTACAATCTGAGCTATAGGAAGGTGTTGCTTTAGTGTCGTTACAAAAGGCCTTTTTGTGAACAGATGTCTGATTTTCATGTTAAAATATGACACTAGAATTGTTAGAAATTTCTTTGTGACTTATGCCTCAGGACACAAAAGGATGGCCAGCTTGACACTGAAGCAGACAGTAATTTCTAATCCCTTCCAGCTAAAGAAATGGTAATGTGCTATTCGCAGGCTATCAGTTTCTAGCTAGCATGTGCCAGCTCCTTATTACCAAATAGGATGACAGTTTAATGAGCCCCTTGCTTGGTGTCAGCAACACATTGTGAAATAACGCCTGCTGCCATATTGAATGCGCCCACTTGAGCATTTGAGCAAGATGCACAACCAATCATTAACTTGCCATCTCTTCCCACTTTTGTGACGTGTTACTCACCTGATTGCAGCTCCTTTGTTTAGCAAGAGCACTTGTATGTCACCGGTTTCTCAGAGATGCATTATTCTGTGTGAGGCACGGGGTGCATTTAGGATACTGAGGTGAACCTGAACATGTCTTTGGTGGTTGTTGGGGAAAAGAGTAATGCTACACCAAGGTGTTCATCAGTTTCGTGCACACAGGAGGGCAAAAGCAACACAATCACTTTTGCACTGGAATAATGTAAAATTATGGAACTGATATGAGCAAAAGTATCAAGTCCATGCATTACCTGTGTGCAACAATGAAAGGGTGCCCCCTAGTGACAGCAGAGTGCCTTCAAGACAAGACTGGCTCAAAACTAAATGTGACACTGCAGCCACAAGCGTTAATGATCTAGATAGCAGCTTATATTACATGGCTGATTCCAAGCCTTGGGATTGTAGCAGGAGCCTGATCCAGAGTTTCACTCTCCGGTCCTGCACTACCTGCTTTGGCCCCTTCACTTCACTAATCCCCTTTCTCTTTGTGCTTCTGTCCCAGTGCCTCAGACAGTGAAGTGGCTTTTTTATAAATTTCCCTGTGCCTTATGGATTAGAGAGAGAGGTACTGCAGGTGGTGCCATCAACTTCCATTCGTCTGTCTGCTGGTGCCAGGAGGATAAACCAATCTAACCCCCTTCCCCACCCTCAACCCTAGGAAGCATGCCCCCTAGCAGCATTCAGATGTCCTCTGGGTTGGGTGTGTGTGAGTGCTGATACATCAGGTCTGTGTTGACTGACTTGGCGGTAATTGGCAAATTCACACAATCTAAAGCTCATTTCCTCTGCACAACCACCCCACTACCTCTCCTATACATTCTCTTAACAACTACCAGTCCTGCTGGTAATTCATTTGATACCCAGTCCCCACTGACAGCAGATTACTACTCCTTCATTTGGGAGAAAAGTCATCATGCATTGATGTCCTCTCAGTATGGAGCATCATCAGTGGACTTATCTTTCAAAGAGCTCTCATGGTTCAGGTTTGAATTGATATTTAAAACTGGTTTTAAAAACACAGCCAACATTTTCTTGTCTCAGTAACCAACACTGTTCTTTCAGACAATGATGCATTTACCTAATTTAATATTTTAAATAGTTATGTAAAGATTACATCAACCAATGGAACAAATTACTATGTGTAATGTGACAGGGGGCGCTCTTAGTGATCAACCCACAGATAATAATCATCTAACGCTGCAGTCCTGCTCTCTGCAGCATTATCAGCTCATTGTTTTGATCTTGTGACAATATTTCCATCCACAGCTGGCAGCTGTGTTCAACAAAAGCTATACACTACCTGCCCAGCAGTAATGGGCAGTCACACAAAGTATCTGCTAGCTGGTGAGCACAGAATGGGGCATTTGGCTACAGTTTAACAACCAGATATTTCCCTCAGGAGAGCAAAATAAAGACCTAAAAGTAGAGTGGACTTACATTTGCCAGGCGGCCAGAAATGTGACAATTTTTTAAATTGGTGGCTAAATATGTCTGGTTCCTAATGTCCTAAAATGGCCCAAAAAATCAGTTAATCCAAGTTTAAGGGACAATGAGGGCACCATATATGGCTAGAAGGGTAAGATGTACAATTTTTGTTGCAGGTGAAAAATACAACAGTCATTTCAGTCTACACTGTTGCTATGTTGGCAGATCCCATAATAAGTCACAAATGCTTACTTTTTTCAGATTTGGGTTTGGAGAAAAAATAAACTATGGTTAACTGTGCTGTGATAAAACTAATTATTACCCTAATTATGGTCTGTTTCTTGGCGAGGACGCTCAACTTTGTGAAGTCTCTGCGGGTTGCCTATAAACCTCACGTTGACAACAAGACTCCAAGGAGTGACTTTGCCAAACCGAGAAATAGTTTGGCAGATAACCCACCATAAATTCACAATTTGGTTTTTACAGTTTGCTTTTTGTATGGTTTAATCAAACAGGATACAACATGTTATTCAGTGAGTTTTAGCGTTGCTGAGATCTTGTTATCTTTGGGCAGAGCCAGGCTAGTTGTTCTCCCTTATTTTCAGTCTTAATACTGAGCTAAGTTAATCAGCTCCTAGTGGCTTCACCATATTTAATGGTCAGATGTAATAATGGCATCAAACTTCTCATGTAGCTCTCTGCAAGAAAGCTAATTTCATTTGCATATTTCCCAAAATGTCAGACTATTTCTTTAAGCTCTGTAAATATAATTACACACATCTGTCCAGCTGTCAGTAGCCATGTGTTGCCTTTATAAAGTGTCTCTCCTTTGGGGTAAAAAGACTTCATGTGATGTCTAGCCGTAGACTGGCCCCAGTGACTCACCGTGCCGGGCCTCCCTCTGCTCCAGCTCCTGCCTCAGTTGCTGTCGCTGCTCCTTCATCCTGGCCAGTTCCTGGCTACTCCCTGAGCTGAGGCTGTGCGACCTCTTGGCCAGAGCCTCTAGCCGGTCTTGCTCCAGGTACACCGCCTTCATCTCAGCCTTCAGCTCCTTTGCGCTGCTGAAGTCATTACCTGCACCAGTGCACCATAGGAGGACATTACTCTTACACTGCCCATTAATGAGTGCCTCAATCATTAATGACGTAATTATGTGAGGCTAATGGTGAGCAATTCAAGTAAATGAGGTAAATACAAGAATGTGAAAAAAAGTGTCTAGGCAGGGGTGTTTTGGGGTGGGGCTGAGTGGACCATTACCTGAGATGGCTGCCAGTTTGGCTTCATGAAGTGCCAAAAGCTGTGTTTCAGTCTCGCTGACTTTCCTCCTCAGGCTCCTGCCCAGCCTCTGACTCATGACCACCTGGGGAAAAGGAGGAGAAGCAGAAGCAGAGGCAGAGTCGGGGGGGGTAACTAACAAAACCTTTGCAGACACATGCATCCCATCGGATGCATAGCTCATTTCCAATTCAGCTTTCATTTTCTTTTTGACGTTCATTCTTACAAGGCCTTACAGATTCATTTCCATCCTTCTGCGCTTGCCCTGCTTTGACTACACTGCAGAGCATCAACACTGACATGTTACCTTGTCTAGAATCTTTGAACAGAAACAGAGTGCATCTCCTTTCACATGGACAGACACGTAAATGTGAAATCTCCATAAAAGATGCTATTAGAATGTCAGAGAGGAAAAAGGCCCTGAATGTCACAGCCCTGAAGGGGTTCCAGCACCTCAGCTCTGTTGTATTCACAGAGGACTTGATGGCTTCAGATACTGGAAGTCTGGACCCCATCTGCCCTCATTCTGACCTTTAATCCTCTGTTCTTTCCAATGTATTCACTTTGAGCTACAGCCAGATACAATCGCCATGATGGGCTTCTTTCTTTTGAGGAACTATTTTCATTGCTCAAAGGGATGTGGAGCCGGATTTTCTTGATGCATTTTCTTGAATTTGACACAGTTTTGTGCAGCACTTTGAAAAGACTGTCAAATAGGTTGGTATTTCTGAGGCAGAACATCTCCAGGGAGCTTTCTTTCCACAGAAATGTAGAAAACAGATTTTTCAAACAGGCTTGCATAATGTTTTTTTCATGCATTACATGAACTGGTATCTGCTCTGGAGTGTTTTTCAAACTGTAGAAATTCTGTCATTGGTTATTTAATTTCAAAATATCAGGCTATTTTTCATTTTTGAAAAAGTCAATAGAGAAAGTGAAAGTTACTTTCACAGCAGCAATCATTTTGTCACAGCAGGTGTGCCATTTTCCACATGGTGGATATCTCATTTAGGAACAAAAGCTTTCATTTCAGTTTAACAATGGACAAACTTGTGATTGTGCTTTAAGTGTCTCTTGATGGAAAACTTATTCATTTCTTTGAGGTGCAGTTGTAGCATCAACCAACCATTTGACGATGAGTTTCTAAAGAACACAGTGACAATAACAAGGTCTTTACAGAGCAACCTGTCCCCTGCTGTGCCTTTATATATTACAGCAGCACTTTTAACAGATTTCTGTTGCTCCTGACTTTTATCAGTTGCAGAAACTGCACATTGAGATCAATGAGAGGGAAAAGCAAACCCCTGAGAAGCAAGAGGAAATTCCAGAGACAAAGCAGATACAAAGTGAAGCATGCAAAGTCATTCACACGCAGGAACATGACAGTGACATGCACAGTAAAATTTGTAAATTCATTACTTTACTTATATAGTTGCGTTTTTATCATCAGAAATGCAGAAAAAATAACTAGTTGCTATTTTTTTACAATTATGTGTGCTTTTTTTCGAGGGCTTATTGAAGATAACATTTCCTGTTGCTTCCGAGTCTTAGCATACACGTATGGAGAGTTCGGTACCATGTCAAAAAGAAATAAGCACGTTGATACAGACACTGGTATTTAGTATGTGTATTTAACACTGAAACTGTCACACAACACATGCTGTCTATTTTGACTTCATTGGATACTAAAGCACACCCAGTCACTGTTGGCCCGCTGTGGGGAGGCTGAGCTGCTGGAATTAATCAGATCAGAGGAACAGTGGCTTACTTTAGCAGTAGCTTCCTTGATGGACAGATTCAATGCTTGCTCCCGCTTTTGGAGCCTGCAAAAAGAAATAAAAATGTTTCAGTGCCACAACAACAATAATGTCTTTCTTTTCTAGTGAAATCAATAGATGTTAATTAGAGAATCAAAGGTCCACCAGTTTACTTTGGCATCTACTCATCTGGCTGCTAAACACTGAATGTTTTATTTACTGTCAAGACAGTTACTGAATCTTTTATGAAGCAGCACCTCTCAAGAGCTGTCTGATGGATGAGAGCAAAGGAGTAGACACTAATTATACACTGGTAAATCGACATCCTTGCAACAAAAACTAAAAGGAAAACACTTCATATATATCCACAGATATCCACAAACAGAAAGATAGGCTCATACTCATACTGTCTAGTGGATGGGGAAAGTTGACTTAGACTGATACTCTATGCAAACATGAAAGTCTTTTTTTGTTGTTGTTGTTTTTTTAGGCCTTCTGAGTTCACATTTGGAAACAAAATCTGTAACCATCAAACTATTAATTATTGCCAGAATTGGTGATCAATAAAACAATTAGAAGAAAGGTTTTCTGTAAGTCTTGCCATGACTATTGTACTTTTGTTTTTAAATATGAAGCTCTAGCCCAGCAGGCAGTTAGCTTAGCTTAGCATGCATGAAGGAAATAAGAGGAAACAGTTATCCTGGTCCATCCTAAACTAACACATTCCCCCCAGCAGACACCTCTAGTTTACAAACTACCATGTTTTATTTGTTTAATCCAAAGTGTAATGTGCAACACAGCTTATTTACAGCTTAAATAAATGATCTCAAAATAACCTGTGACATACTGGAGTTGGCTTAGCTGCCTGAATTTCATCCTTACAACATCCTGTAAAGCAACATTCATGATAACAAAGACAGAAAACATAGATAATTTTTGATTTGCCTATTACATTTATCCATATGAACATTTCAATTAATGGTAAAGGTCATATCAGTAATCGTATTACTATTTGTAAACATACAAAGAGGACAAACCATTAAGGTCACATCATTAAGTGACAGAAGTATAAATCGATTATTACTGTAGATGGGAAGAAAGGAGCATAAAATCCATTATGCACAACACAGTCACCTTGAGACAATCCCGACCATCTCATAGCGCCACAATGTGTCTGCCCTTTACATGTTATTCAAGCTGATGTTCAGGGTGAGTCAGAGGAACATATTATGTCTATAAACATCAAATTCTTTTTCTGCAGTTCCTCTGGATAGTGTGAATGTCTTTAATCCAGTAAGAAAACACACCTCGATATGTGAGCGAGATGTCCTGTGTTATTTGGAAAGGGAAATACAACACAATCCTCATGATGACCCAGAGCATGCCAGCTGGAGATGTGCAGCTGAGTATCCAACCTGAGGTCACAATTTCAATCAGAAGCAATAATAAATGCGCTCCAGTCAGGCTGAGAATATGCTAGATATCAAATTATGCCAGTGATGGTGGGTCACGCCACCTGGAAGGCGATAAGTACAATTTACATGTCTTTCTAATGTGTGGCAAGACAGAGAGGCTTTCCACGGTGCTCCCTCACAGGCTATTAACTTCAGAGGATATGATGCAAAGTAATCATTTGCATCTGAGAAAAACCATTAAAATTCAAAGCAGGCTCAAGCAGGTGTGTGAGAAAAGGATCAAGGGCTCACAGACTGTGAGGGATAAAAAAAAAAACAGTGGTGGTTGCTTGATATATCCTCTCTGACCCTGAAAAAAGCATTCCTCATCAAGACTTACATCTTATTACATTACATTACACCCATATGGCAGATGATTCTTTCCAAAGAGGACCTATGATATAACAAGTGCATTCATAAGAACAAAAAAGCGGATTTAATCTGTGGTGGGGGGGGGGGGGGAATGTAAAAATATTTATTTTTCTTCTGTGTAGTTATTTTAAGCACAAGACAGGCTTGGTGTAATATTTATTCAAAATGCCATTTTGTGAAGCTGGGAGGCAAATATTTGTGAAATAGAAGATCTGCACTGACACATCCTCATCCAAACAAGCTAATTTAATGATAAGAGATGACGTGATGATACAGGGAAAAACATTCATGGACTGATGACTGTTGTAGTGTCACTGCCACTCAGCGGTGACTAATGGTACTGCAGGAGCTACAACTGACACCCACTGCATGAAAAGAGGTGAATGAATCCATGAAAACGTGGAACTTCAGCTTATGCTAACCTAACCTCTGCTAATGTTCAGGTTTAGCCAATCAAAGTTTGAATTCGTGACCAATAGGAAAAATCACACAAAGGTGTACATTGCTGATATGTGACGTGTGAAAATGTTTCTTTGCAGAACAACCCAGAGTGTAATTTGACATAAAAATTTTCCACATACATTTGCATATTTTCTCAACTATATTGAAACACTATGTAAAGCAGCAAGTAATACTTTACATTTTCTTGAAATTTATTTCTAAATCGGAATATAATATTTATATAAAAAATGTTTAAAACACATAAAGAGTTTGCAGCTAGTTGTCATGAAAGGTAATAAATATATAGTTTACTTGCTTTTTTGTTGCCTTTTCTTCTTTTTTTTCTAATTGCCCACTAGATCTTGTCAGATCCACCAATGTAACTTTCAAGCAAACAAATGATGTGGTGTAAGAAGAAACTGGCGGAGCATTCTGCATGTATGTGACTCTGACCTGAGCATGGAGGGGGGAGGAGAGACAGAGATCTGCATCCGGTTTTCAGAGGTGATGAGGTCCTGCAGGGTCCGGCTCATGTCTTGGAGCTGAGCCAAGGTGCAGCTTCTCAGCACAGAGCCCTCCAGCTCCTCAGCCTCCACCTGCTGCTCCTCTTGCTGGATCTGTTGCTCCAGGCATTGACTGCGGGACTTCAGCTGTGCCAGCCTCTGCTGTAGCTCTGCTATCTCCTCCTGCACAGGTTTCATTTATGATCCTGAGGTTCATTTTCAGGTTTTACTCATCAGTTTATGTTATTCTTCTGTCCTCTCTGTGTGTGTTGGACATAATGTTAATCATATGGTAACAGAGACTGGAAATGCTGATAAAATGAAATGAAATAGTAGTACTTTAATATTCCAAACAAGTACATTTAGTGCTACAGTATATTCAAGTGCATAATCTGGGACAGAAATAAACTGCACTAATTCTGCAAGTAAATTAAAATATAGAAGAATTTATCAGTATTATTCTGTAGCATTATGGGTTTCATATTATGAGTATTAATATTGAGGTCATAATTAATTCAAATTCACAATTAAGCTATTCTTAATTAAATATTACGGACAACTGAAAATTTTAGGAATTTCATTCATTTTTCATGAGTAAGGAAAGAAAATGCCCCAGCAGTACACAAAGGCAGGCACACACGTCACACAAAGTCCCAGAAATGGCAACTGGAAACTTTTATAACATAATGTGAGCTGCACTTACCTCAACCAGCCGTTTCTCTTGGAGCAGATGATCTCTTCGATGCAGCAGACCTTGCAACGAGCCAGACCGCTCCCCTGCATCAGGCTCTGTACGCTCCCTGCCACAGAAAACACACAGTCTATGGCATTTTAATGGGTTGAAGCACGACTTTCATAAACTACACTTTTCATACCTTTCATCTACATTTCATGGGTTCTTTTGGTCTTTTTTAGGAGCCGTTAACTTGACTTAACATGGATACATGTGCACAGATAACTTGGACATTAATACTTAATGTACCATGACCACTAAAGTTAGTTTAACCAGTGTTTTCTTACTCTTTCTAAAACTCATTGACATGGAGGTAAACATTTGGGAACATGGTTGCGATACAGGAAAACGCAGAAGCACAACATGGCTGCATGAGCTTTAGGTTACATTTGTACAGGATTCCCTCTGGATAGGCCCCACCTGACTTCCTTCCTGCTAAAAGAGCTATTTTTGACATCCCTCTATAACTGTTAGATTTCTACAACATTATCGCAGAGGACAGCAAATTATCATGATCATAAGACAAAGCTTATAAATGCAGCATTTAAACAGAAACATAAGGCTACTGCAATATATAAATCTGTTGTCTACGTCAAGTAAACAAAACCAAGACCAATTAAAGTCTGTCATAAAATGAGCTCTAAAACAAAGTAGGGAATCTGTTTGTTTTTTCTCTTTTAAAGTTTCACTTAACATCAATTTAAATATCAGTAGTAGAAGACGTTCTTCTTACTTTAGTAAAAAGTAGCAATACCTTAGTGTAGAAACAAAAGTTAGCATCAAAAATTTAACTTAGGTGAAGGTACTAATATCACAATATATTTGCCAAAATATCAAAAGAAAAAGTTTTCATTATGCAGAAAGGTCCACCTCAGAATAATCTATATGAGATTATTTAATTATAGATTATTGGTGGATTAAACTGAATAGCGATTATTCAGAAAACTAATTAGTTGAGCAAAAGAAAATTAACTGGCAACTATTTTGATAACTGATTAATTATTTAAGTCATTTTTCAGTCAGATTGGAGCATTTACTGATTTTATTTGTGATATCTGAGAGCAAACTGGGTATCTATAGGTTATGGGATGGATAATGAATGGGTCAATGTTTTTTTAATTATTATCTCATTTTAGTGGCAAAACATATAATCAATTAATTAAGAAAAAAAGGAAAATACCTGTTTAAATGTTTCAACTGATAAAAGTGGATCTAATTTTAATTATTTTATGTACTACAAGGAAACTTGTGAATTTCCTGCATGGGTTTACTGTCATAAAGTCTCATCTTAAACCATCTTAAACTATGATAATACATCATAATTTATTTCTTAATTATATTTGGTTTTATTAATAAGAATCTACAAAGTAACAAGTCACTAAATATAACTAATGAATGTAGAAGCGTAGCTGAGTAACACATTTCCCTCTGAAGTGTAGCGGAGTAGAAATATACAGTAGCAGGAAAAGGAAATGCTCAACTAAAATAGAAGTACAGTTGCAGTACTTGAGAAAGTATTACTTTCCACCACTGTTAAATATTAATCTCAAGTGTGTTCATATGAAGTAACATTATACTTCAACATCAAAGCAATAGCTTAAGATTATTGTGATGTAAATTTTGATTAAAAAAACTTTTCTAGATCATGAATCAAAGCATGATCTTCTGTTGTTCTGGGTGTGACCAGTGTGAGTTGTCTATACACCGATAATGGGATTTTGTTTGCTCTTGTTGTGTAAGTGACCTGCGCTGACTGCAGTCCGCCTTCTGGAGGGCGCTGTGCACCACCTGTCTGAGCCGCTCAAGGAACTGAGCCACGCTGGGCTGTCTGGAGGGTAAACCCAGCAGCAGAGCTCCTCGCTCCCTGCACAGCTCCTCCAGCTTTTTCCCAAAACGCTCAGCTGAAAACACACATACGCACACAAATCAGTTTTAAGTTTTAATCAGGTTTAAGTCAGAAAGTTGATGTAGAGACTTAGGATCTCCATGCAGGTAGTGCTGTGTTATGACTATACAAAAACAAGATTACAAATTATCCTTGAACTAAAAGGCACTTAAAGAGGGCAAGCCTTTGTCAAAACTGAACTGCCTCTGTGGGTTTATGGTTGAAAAGCTGTTCTTAAGCTTTTTAGTTATCCTGCTGACAGCAAAAAAAAGAAAATGAAATTAGCATGGGTGGGAAAGGATGTTTAAAATGTCAGAAAGAAGCACGTGATGCACAATATCAAAAGGCAAACAGAAAACCTGCAAAGACACACTGACTCAAATAATCGCTGAACCTAAAAAGTTCCAGGTCTACAGGACACTGACAACAGATGTTGGTATTTATTTCATAAACAAAGTCCAAGAAATGGGTCAGAAAACAGACGTCTTCTGAAAATAAACTTTCCTCGGGTCAGCTAAAAGAAATATTCAGGTCAAACAGTGACTTAAAAGAATGCAGTTTCTTCTGCACAGATTCAAAGTAGAGTCCAAGTTCAAAGTGTTACACAAAACACAAAGAAACACAAAATAGGAGAAGCAAGATCATACAGACGCTGTTCAACCTTTCAGTTTATTACAAACTCAACTGTGATACTAATCATGAAACCCAGAAAATAATTGTATTATTTGTACTAATCCTCTAGGAATAGACACCACATAGACATAAGTCAGTACTGAAATGCAATAAAGGCACCTGGGTGACTTGTCCTAGCCTCTCTCATCTAAAAGACAGAAGTCAGACTGATAAAAGTCTGAATCTTGATTGAACAATCTGTGAAACCTTGATATAAATGATTCCAAAGGACAAGATGTCACAGAGTTACTATATGTTGTCACTTATTGTTCCCTTCTCACTATAGGAATTTAGTATAAAATATGTTTTTCATTAGGAGTGAAATAATAGTTTTGAAAAACTTCATTTATTTAAAAAAAGGATATAAACACATGTCAGAAATTCAAATATGTTTCACAAAAAGTGTCTCAGCAGGCAAAGATGAAATGACCTCTTTATTAAAGCAAAGGCTCGGGTGAACGTCTTAGCTTACCTGCATCATAGTCATCATCCAAAATGGCCTTCTGCTGGAGTCTCTGCAGCTTCAACATCATGGACTCAATCTGAGAGGGAGACACAGTAGACAGAAGTCCAGACCAGATTACCCAGCAATCCAGAGGGCAATGCTCTTTAAACAGTCACCACACACCCCACCCCCAACCCCAAAAAAAGTGAGTGAGTGCAATGACCGCCATTTCACACTGATACCGGGTCAGTAAGTTGAGGATATGAAGTTTAAAACCTCAACATCATTTTAAAGCATTACCATTCAGGCTGTATCTAATCAGTTGTATGCTAGAACTCAGTCTTGACTCTGAATCTATGTCTTGGAACAGTTTTAAAGGCCTGCACCTCATCCTTTCATCAGAACTCACTCATTAACTCACCTTAGTGTGGGTGCGGTTGCTTTGGAGGCAGTCTTGCAGCACACCCTCATACTTCTTCACCAGGCTGTCCCAGCCTTGGTCAGAGGTTAGCGTGGCACTCTCGTAGCCAGAGGTGACAGAGGAGGTGGAGGCACTGTCTGAGTCCACAGACAGGGAGGAGGTGATCTCTACGTCCACATACCGGGAGTCAGAGTCAGGCAGGCCGGACATAGCCTCCGTGCCACCCCACTGACATTCCTGCCAAAACAGATTCTCTCTCTCTGCCTGGCTGCCTGGAGCAGAGGACGGTGATGATTGGATGGGATTTGAATGTTTTGAGGCATTGATGAGTAAGGTTGCTGGTTTTGTTTGAGGTGAACTGGGGACTTTACTTGACTGATTTAGTGGTTCTGGTTCTCGGACAGGCATAGCAGTGGTGGAGTCTGTTCTCTGGCTGGTGTTGAGTGACTGTTGAATGAAACTGAAGCTGGAATTGAAGGAGTCCTGTGAGGAGGACTGTAGTGCTGGACTTGGGTTTAACCTGAATTTGGTCTGCAGCAGTGAGGACTGATCCCAAAGGCTGGATGCACCATTAATGGCACAGCAGTCCAGAGGACAGTTCACAGGACTCGTCCAGGAGCTACATGTGGATTTATCAGGCTGTTGCTGATTCATTAAGGACACTCTGACAGCAGGTGTTAGACTCCTCCCCTGAGAACTGGATGCATCAGTGATGTCACTGGGATGTCTTGATTTGTCATTTCTAATGCGAGACATCCTCCCTTCTTCCTCCTCCTCCTCCTGCTCCTGTCCATAAGTCCTGCTCTGTAGCCTGGACTGCTCTCCTCTCATGTACCCTGGTCTTCGGTGGAGCCTCTTATGACCAGAGCTGCCAGATGTCCCTGATGCTCTGCCACCTGTTGTAGCAGAGATTAATCATTAAGATGGGCAACATGGGCATGAGGAAGATAAAAGGTGAGCTCATAGTACTGGCAGATTAACTGTGCAATCATGAGCTACATCAGGCATGTCATGCTAAATGTGCCAATTACATAAGAATGTGAAACACCACTGTGCACATCGTTAATACTTTCAGTGTAATGTAACCAAATCTAAATAAATTCCACCCAGCCGGAGCCCTCTGCCATTAAAGCCAGTGTCGCTAACTGACTGAAAACAACTCAGGCAGCTGTGTGACATTTCCCAGGGTTCTGCTCCAGCTGTTGGGAAATACCAAAGCAGCACAGTCATTTTGAGTTAAGACACACCTCTCAGTGGAGGACTGGCCTACTTAAACAATATTACCAGAATTTACATTTGAATTTGCTTGTCTTGGAAAACACAGCCATAGTACCCTTGACTGGTTCTCAAACTGGGTCATACTGTGGGCGTACAGGCCTTGGAGGGGTGTAGTGAATGTGGCGAACATGAATGTTCTAATCAACCTATACAGTCCTGATCACCCAACAACAGTGGAAGCAAAGCTGGGTGAGTCGTATTGATGTTGGAACAGTAAATTGACAAAACAACCCTGCATGCTAGTTAAGTTATCAAGATTTATTCAGACAATAACAAGCTCAATTTTTATGGCAGTGCTGCCACATGGTTAAAGGTTGGACAAACCTTTAACAGGGAAGAACAAATAAATGTGAATCAAGTGAACACTTCACACACAATCAATACAATTAAACATAGTGGGAGAGTCTTTATCTTTTGTGTCTAAAAACTTTAGCAGCTTGAGAACAGTTTGATTTGCTTTTGTCACTTGCACAGTCAAAACTCATGTGAAAGTGTTTTAATACTGTTAATGGATGCTGATATTTTATTGTTTTACACAGGGATGGCGTGCTTGAATTTTTTTTATCTTTTAAAGGTGGGGATAATAGAAAAAGTTTGAAAACTGCCCTATTGATAGACAAGCAATAAGCAGTGATCACATCAGAATAAACAGCATTTAGCCTTAAAGTGGAGCAGGATGATAAAGACCGATTTGTGTTCAGACACCTGCTGCAGCTTCACATGATTACTACATATAATGTGTAGGATTCAGAAAAGGAGGCAGGCTGAAATGTGTGGAATCAAGAGCCCCTTTGTATACAGCTGCTTCCTCTCTCACTTCTGGATCTCAAGTTTCTCATCCAACTCTCTCACACACAGGGACACAGTGACACCTTTGTACTGAAAACAGTGCAAGCAGTCATTGTAAAATCCTGTTAGACACTTAAAAGCCTAACAACACATCTAGTTTTACATACAAATCCAAGCACATATATAAGAACAAAATACTGCACTACTGTGAGTTCTAGTATCAAATTTGTACTAATGCTATATTTGCATAATACACACAGTCTTCACTTCTGTATTTGTGGCTATACACTGAAAAAAAAGGATTTGTTGGATTTACTTGATTGTAATGTGTACATCGGTCCCACACAATGATAATGTGTAAAACCAACATAATTTTCTTTAGGGGTTAACTTGTTTGAATTATGTTAACAGAGGAAATATGAATGAACTGCGTTGCATATACTAGCATAATTTGTGTAAATCCAAAGACCCAGTGAGTCCTTTTTTTCAGTATATGCCAAAACAGGAGTGCGGGGCATCAAACAAACCCTGACCAGCACAAAGCAAGTACAGCTCATTGCTTAACGCCCCATGATCTCCCCATGAGTATGTCACTCCTAAACTATCCCATGTGACTGCAGAAAAGACAGCAGATAAAGGAGAGTTGGGATGTTAGATGTGTGTAGAGCAGAGGACAGTCTTCAGTAAGAGCCTCCTGTCCTTGGGGACCACCACAATAAAGTTACAGTTACATATACTGTAGCTCCATTAGTGTTTCTTTGCAGGCATAGCCACTCTTGCACAACCAATTTAAGAAACCCAACACTCTCCATAGGCACCAAATACAATTACGATCATCCACCATCTGGTGTGGACACGATATAATATAGAGCCCACACCCCAGAAAGAGAAAGGAGAAGAGCTTATTGACAGAGAGTGTTACTCTATCCTCACCATGCTTCAATTACACAATGATGTCTCTTCTCAGTGAAGGGGAAGGAAATGCCTCAGGGTCTATTCTCTCTCTCTGTGTGTGTGTGTGTGTGTGTGTGTGTGTGTGTGTGTGTGTGTGTGTGTGTGTGTGTGGTATCCTTTTTTGTTTCTATTGCAACACAAAATAAAACATTTACAGGACAAAGGACATAACATAGTAAATTAGACAACAGACATTAATAAAGGAGACAAAGGGATTATTAAATTAAGTTATTGAGTTGTGCATGTGAAAGTGTGGAGTGTGGGTGTATCCAACTCTGTGCAGACTGATATTCAGTACTTAGTGACAAAAATCATGTAAAGTAATGTAAATGTAAAGGAAAGAAAATACAGTTGGTAGAAAATGGATGACTTTGAAAAAATGAAATTTTTAAAAAATTGCGAGTAATTGCAACAGCCAAAAGTAGAGTAGTAGTACATGTAAATAAAACAATTGCAAATAAAAAGAATATTTCAAAATGCCGGTGGTAATGGTGGAGTTTATTGTAATTATCTTATATGCTTATAATTTGAATTAATGCTGAGTAGTTTGTGAATTTTTCACCAGTGTTCAATAATTTTTTATGGTTATACTGTATTTAATTTTATTGATCTGATTTTGAAATGTATTAGCTAAGTTTGGGTCACAAGAAGAAGTAATGGCACTATTTTCAATTTCTTGGTTTTCTGCATAAACTGGTCATTAAATGTGATTTGATTTTCACCAAAGTCACAAATACACTGTATCAACAAACACAATATTTCTATGCTAATAAAACATATGCCATAGGTATGTAATTTAGGTGACTTGTTTGCATTAACTGAATCTTTGTGCTGCAACAGGTTGACAAATTCAACTAAAACAAATAGAATAAATCCTAAATCACCTGCTGGTCCAGCTTAAAAAAGACATGTTTCTTGTTGTAGCTGCCAAGAGTTTCCTCTGACAACACTGTCTTGTCTACTGATTTCTCCAGTGGCATAAACTGGCACAATATACATTTATAAAACATTATAGGGTTTGTGTGTCTGAGATCAGCACTCTCAGACACACAAACACATATAAGCAGATCTGTGTGTCAGCCACCTCCTGAGAAGCAGCCCCGAATGGCAGATGCGCAACACTTCACTTGTGACTAACCACAGTGTCAGAAATAGGGAAATGAAAATAAATCATGAATCATTTTTGACCATAATAATGACAAATGATGACGTGACAGAGAAATGAATCTATCTATCTATCTATCTATCTATCTATCTATCTATCTATCTATCTGTCTATCTATCTATCTATCATAATCCTATACTGTTTGACAAGGAACTATATTATATAAATATATTGTATGGCATTCTAGGATTGTTTTGTGAAACTTTTAAAAGAAAACAGCTCTGCACTTCCTGTGTGCTCACATGAGGATCATAAATCAGCTGAAAATGGTGGAGGTACAGTAGTGTAAGTTGTGAAGTTATTACTATTTCCTTACAAAAACATTTCAGCATGTCATATTTCAAACATGGATTAATTGAAGTTATTAAAAATGTTTTTGAATGTCAAAAAAGTGAAAACATTTCATATTTAAGTTTAAAAAAGATATGAACTACTCCACAAATAACCACTTTTAGAAACTGATGTGTATCTAAAATGCTGGTCACATTAGCAGCTGCCACATGTTCTATAAAGTAGGGTCTATAAAGTAGCTGTATCTACATTATATATCATGACATCAACCTTGTGCCACATCTCCTGACTTTTTATTGTCTCAGTTAAGTTTATTTCTGAGGCAGCCACTTAGTTAAACGTGTATTCTTACATGTACAGAGGATAGGGCGAGTCGGCTTACAGGCATGTTGTCTGAACAGACAGACAGCTGTGAAATATGCAAGTTAATTGTGCTAGATAAACATGTTCTACATTTTCCAAGCATTTCCCAGTATTTAGTGGCTCGCAGTTTATCAACTACAATCATACAACAAATAGGCTGAGTGGTAGGGAGCATTTATCTGAAGGGCAGGAGACTTTATAGACTAGCAGACACTGAGAGTGAATGACTATGTGGAGCAGCAGCTGAATGAATAAAAAAAAACCCTTCTCTAAACTTGCTCTGAAAAAAAAAACCTTCTCTAAACTTGCTCTGGGTGAGTTTGCATCGTTAATGTGAACAAACAGAAGTGAATAATTTTAAAATGTTTTAAAAACGACTCTACCTTCCGTGACTTCGCTGTGGTGAAACTGAGATTTTCTGTGACATTCCAGTCCCATCAGTCCAGCAAACATCTTTCCAATACAAAGCAGTTTGTATTCAGAAGTCAAATAATGTCAGATCCAGGTCCTGGACTACATGGAGTTACATCACCCACGTTTAGAAGAAGCGGAGCCAGCCAATGGGACTGAGCTCATTTCCGTTGTGGAAAAGTGAGTCCTGGCTGTTATTTTTCCCACCACTTTGGAACAGCGTGTGACACCGGCTTTTACACGAGCTGCTTTGTCCATAATAAACATTTCCTGATGACATAAGTATTGATTCTTATGGCCTACATGAGATTCTTAGATTAGATATCTCCTCAGCAGCAAAAAAGTGGGTAGCCTACAGTTACGCACGAAGAAACAGTCTGGAGATAGAAGCTGGTATTCCTGTCATGTTTAGATTTTTTGTCCGAGAAAAACTGGAAAAACATCCGATGCTGGTGTGTGATTGCCGAAGTAATAGCCCATGTAAATCTGTCTTATTGTTATGTTGATCAGCAGTCCCCGTTATTCGCTGCGCCCCTGCGTCTTGCGTCGTGTCGGAGCAACATGAGGAGCTCCTACGTGTTCAGGAATGTGACGCCTCCAGACCGCCTCATAGACACAGCAGGCAGCTGATGAACGCTGCTGCTGTTTTGTATTTGTGCTTTATTTTAGCGCCATCGTGATTTCCGTGCCGCTGATGTAGGAGAAAAGAAAAGGGAACATATGGAAAACGCATGTTAACTCCATTAAACCCACAAAACATGATTACAAGTTCAAAGAAAAGAAAGAAAATATAACATTTTATTATTGTAGTATAAGTGTAGTGTATAAAACTTTTATGTTTAGATCATTTATGGTGCTTTCATATTTGAATAAAACCAACCTTACTCTCAGAAAATATCCAAACTGGCTAAAAGTTGTAATTACATTATAGTGTAACAATAAAAAGTGGTTAATATTTCTGTTGTTTTTGTTTGTTTGTTTTCTTGTGACACATGTTAAAATTTATTTTTATTGATGTTAAGATTAGTTTTTATTATTCTAAATTAAAATAGGCTACATGCAACTGCACTGTATGCTATAGGATATGTTGTTAGACAGTCTGAGTATATTACAGTCAATTAAAATAGGTTTAAATAATTGTGTGGAACAAACTGCCTGCTATTTTAGTCTTTCTTACGCAACTAAAAGTGCTCCTTTGTTTATGCAGTGAGGGAATGCATGAGAAGAAAAACCCCACATAGAGCAGAGTCTTTTATCCTCCTCCCCATGCATCTAAAAGCTCCATTCACTCAGCTTGGCTGGCTCATGGGCAGGACCCACTGATAAAAAGCTCACAGTGCAGTTCTCGCTAGTTAGACTACACTCTGAAGGAAGGCAAATTGGATGAAATCCATTGCCTTGCATGCACTATAGAAATAAATTGCCTGCCCAGTATTTGACATTAGAGGTAGATCTGCCTGGGACTCAACAACTCATGACCACAACTCATATAGGACTGCGCAGAGCTGCAAGAGAGAAACAAACCCTGTAAGGAAGCATTGATAACACTGCAAGCCTCACCTTGTGTTTTAGGTTTTGCCCATTCTGCCTCTCTCTACTACTACTCTCCTGTTCCCAGGAGTTGTTTTGGTCGAGCACAACAGACGAAGCACAGGTGTAACTAATACCATTACTGAGGGCTCCAGTGCATTTAGGTGTCATACCAGTGAACCAGGGTCTATCCTGGAAGTGAAACACTTAAATTAAATGCAGCCTGTAATAATGTCATTAATTACACGGGCGATTCTTCTACTGTCACACATCTAAACATCTTTTGTGTCTGTTCATGTGTAACTCCAGTGCAAAAGTGCATTGAAAACATTGGGTGGACTAGGAGAGTTTCATGGGGATGAATGTGCCACCTCATCAGTTTCCTCCTCTTCTGTTACTAAATATGTTGGTAGAGCTGTATTCTGCTTTCTCCAGTAGATGTCAGGCTTTACACACATTAGGCCTGGGGTTTGGTTCCACACACTCCTGTCATTTAGCTCCTTTAAGAAATGATGGTTGTCTTTAGAAGTTTATGCAAGTCATCTGGCTAAACTTGTTTTATTCATAGTAGGTTCAGATTGTTGTTTATGCACAGAAGACATTATTTGCTATAAATAAATATTTAAATGAGAATAAAAGTGTCTCTGTGTTCTTTTGGTTGTAATGATATGATTGCCATATGTTCATATTGCCACCTCAATTGCTCTAAATTGACTGTTTATTCTATGTATAGGTGCGTGTCTGTCACTTGCTTGAGGAAGAGACGGCACCAGGATGCACTATGGGAAGAAGGCAAGCTGGCAGAGGCAGTGTGATGCTCTGGGCAAGGTTCTGCTGGGAAAGCTTGGCTCCTGCCATTCATGTGGATATTACTTTGACTTACTGAAACGTTGCAGACCAAGTCCACCCCTTCATGGCAGTGGTATTCCCTAGTAGCATGGGCCTCTTTCAGCAGAATAATGGTCCTGCAACACTGCAAAAATGGTCCAGGAATGGTTTGAGGAGCACAGTGAGTTCAAGATGCTGACTTGGCCTCCAAATTCACCAGATCTCTTTCCAGTCAAGCAAATGTGGGATGTGCTGGACAAACAAGACTGATCCGTGAGGGTCCCACCTCGCAGCTTACAGGACTTAAAAGGATCTGCTTCTGATGTCTTGGTGCCAGATACCAGAGGACACCTACAGAGGTCTGTGGAGCTTGTGCCTCAGTGGGTCAGAGCTGTTTTGGTGGTGAAACGGAGACCTACACAATTTTAGGCAGGTGGTCATAATGTTATGGTTGATCAGTGTATATACATAGGGTGTGTGTAGCATATACTGTATGTATATAACATTAAATACACTAAGCAGAATACAAAGCAGCAAAGCCACTTGTCTTTCTTCCTCTCAGACTCCCTCAGTTCACCAGCTCTTCAAAAACTAAGCAAATAACAGGAAATTCATGTACAAAAGCCAGAAAATACAGATGGAAAGGCCTTTAATAAAAGACTGATTATAAATTGCTGCATTGCCTTTCATTAAACTCCGACCATGTGACATTTTATGGCCAAGAAGATACGGTGAGTTGGATACATGCACAACTATTAGACAACATACTGGATACCTTCCATTTGTCAAGGATGACCTTCTTCCTACATCTCGCTATGCCACCCTCAGAGACGAGCATGTGCAGCCCTCTAAGTACAACAGCTGCTGTTCAGGACAGAAACTGAAACCCTACAGAGGCAGTGTTGTTGTGATATGAATAATCAGTAATAAAGTTACGTGTTTAATCCGACAACAAAATCAAGTTTCCCTAAAGATGAATACAGTGTTGTTGTGATATGAATAATCAGTCATAAAGTTACGTGTTTAATCCGACAATACAATCAAGTTTCCCTAAAGATGAATAAGAACTTCTGTTACTGATTACAGAATATGCAGATATTAATCACTGGCCATCTAAGAGCACAGCAGGAGTGTTTCTCACTGCTCGACACATTATGTATGGTAATAACTGACTATCAGGTGATGAGAACACAGCAGGAGGTCAGGTCTCTTCCAGGAACATTTGTTAGTGTGCGCCAAACCTTATTTTGAATTGACGTCATTGCAGCATGGTGAGAATTGTTTAGAGGGTAGAACGAGGCAGCAAAGGGTTGTTTCTGTGTGTGTGTGTGCCAGTGGGCCTGCCAGAGAATAGGCATGTACAGTTTATAAAAGTCACATGTTCCTCCTTCAAACAGTATGCAGTGAGTTCAGGCAGGCAATGAATCTACCTTACATTATCTGTGTGTGGTAGAGACGGGGGAGGGCAAAGAGAGATGAATAAAATAAACACACATTATCAAAGCAGAGTAGACCGGGAGAGCATGGCATACTTGGCAGAGAGTCTTTATTCATGCAAAACAACTGAAGTCAACAGATCTTTATCAAAGAAAAAATCCATTGTAACACCGGTTTTATTGCAATAAAAGCTAAAATTAACAAGCATGTCATCAAACATCGGTCAAATCCAATTAAAGATAGGTAGCACAAGTAATGAACAGAGAGAATGACTCCATCAAGAACATAAGCAGTACAGGATTAAACCAGTCCCTCATCAGGGTCGATGAGTGTGGTCCGACTGGAGAACACATCGGCCAACATGTGTTTGGGGATCTCGGAGCCGCGGACACGCAGGGCGTAGCAGGCGTCTTCCACTTTACCCAGGCTCTGTCGCAGCGTGTACAGCTTCTTTGACACCTCATACGGGCCTGTGTTCCCGATATAAGAGAAGCCGTCGTGGATTTGCCGAAGGAATTGGCTCAGTTGGAAGGGCGTGTCGATGTCACCATTGCCTACGCTACTGATACACATCCGCATCAGCTCCCCAGTCAGGTCGGCCACCCCGAGCAGGTAGTCTGAGGGCATCACCTGGAAGGTCAGGACCTGAGCTGCATGCGGCTGGGCTTCAGCTGAGCCCTGAGATGAAAACATTACGAGAATGAATATATTAAAATAAAGAAAGAAAGAAATGATCTACACTCTCCAGGACAATTTTTTCAATACTCTTGGACAGATGGGGCACAGAAATTCAGATTTACACACCAGACTGATGTGACAACTATGTTTACAAGCTGTGATTGTTAGGTTGTGCAGTTGTACTTCTAGTAAACACACTGAGCCACAAATACGCAATTTCTCTTAAGCGTACAGATGCTTTTACTACAGAATTGAGTTTCTGCATCAACAGGAGCCCATCTACTTTGACAACAGGCAGAGTACACTAAATGACATAATGACACATAATGCTCCTAAATAAAGTACATCATAACACTGAATGTTGTCTCTGTCTGCCATCACCACTGCTCTGAAAGGAAAGGAAAAGCAAAATCATGTAGAATGAACATGCACTACTATAATAGTTGGACAGTTTGGGGAATGTACTTAGCTGTTTTGGGGTATTAGATTAAAAGATCAACACCACTCTCATTTCTGCATGCTGAATATTTAATATGTTTGAATAAAGTATCAAACTAGCTGCAAGAAATCCAGAAGCGTATTCCTCAAAATGTCAAACTATTCCTTCAAATCATGTTAGATTTGACTGCTGAAAAATGAAGAATATCTGCTCAAAACAATAAACACTGACGTCATGAATGCATGCAGCTTAACCACAACATCTTTAAATTTACCTTAACATCTACCTTCTCTGTTCTCATGAACACCAGTTTGGCATTGATCTCCTCCAGGCTGATAAGGCTGCGGTGACGGATATAGTGCAGGAATGAGACAGCCTCCACATATTCCTGGATCCCTAATGCATTAAATCACATTAAAATGGATCACCGCATGATATTGCTAGTAACATTGTGAAGTTTACACTGCTCCAGTTCCTCAGTCTAATGAATGGGATGGTGGGAGCCTTTATCTGTTTATTTATGATTTACAAAAAAATACCACTATTACTAAAAGGATAGTCAAGTATGTATCAAAAAGAGCAAAGCACACAGTATGTACAAACCCTTACACAGTATCTGCACAGTACAGATCATAAATGTAGATAATGAATCAAATAAAACCTGCTTCCTGTCTCAGTCTTTTGATTCAACAACAGTGGCCATTTTTTATGGCGGGCTGAGATGACCCCTGATTTGTTTTCTGGCCCTGTGTAAACAACAATCAAATAATCACAGGACGGAAGACTTTGTGTCTGAAGTTTACTTTGGGAGCTGCCATGGAACTTCAAAGGGGCTCCTATCTCCCTGTAGCTAACCACAGTATGCTCCAGAGAGCCTGGTTCATCTCCACTACATTCCCTTCCCTGTTCTTATTATTAGGTTTTCATTTAAAACACCACTGCTACCTTATTTACCATATATGTAACCACAGACCTACTGAACTACCTACTATTTAAAGCTACTCTTCCTAATTTCCTTTCAGAGTATAGTAAGACTCAAAACAAACCAACACCATAAGGTGCTCCTAACTATCTTTGTCCCTTCCATCACGTCCTGTTTCCTGATGAACTGTATAACAAACTGTACAAAATGCAGCCTCCAGTTTGAAGCTTGCATTAGCTGACTAATGAGTACATTTGGCAATCGAGTAGAACGCGCTGGTTACTATTAATGTGACACAACACACTAAAGTTATTCTGAAATTTAACTAACTTCAGTTCAATACAAAGGTAAAATCATCACCACACTCGGTCACTATTCAGTGTTGGAGAGTCATGAACTACATGTAATTAAACTAGTTTACAGTAGTTTGCTGATAGTTCAACTATTTACATAGCGATTCAAGTCATTAAATTACTTTTTTGTGCAGTTAACTACAGAAACTATAAACAATTTTGGAAAAGGCCCATCCAGACTGTTACCAGCAACAAGTCCAAAAGCCAGGGTGTGTCATGGTCTGGGGTCGTGTCAGTGCCCTTGGCAAAGGTTACACTTCTGTGATGGCTCCATTAATGCTGAGAAATATTTAGAGATGTTGAAGCAACACATGCTGCCTTCAAGACGACATCTTTTTCAGGGACGCCCATACAGATTTCAACAAGACAATGCAAAACCTCATACTGCACATTACCAAGGCCTGGCTGTGGAGGGAAAGGGTGCGAGAGCTGGACTGGCCTTTCTGCAGTCTTGACCTGTTCCCAATAGAGAATGTGTGTCACATTTTGAAATGCAATTTGCGCCAACGAAGACCCAGGACTGTTGTGCACCTTAAGACTTGTTTGCAGGGAGAATGGGGCAAAATGGCACCTGACACATTTAAGGTGTCCTCAGTCCATAAACGTCTTTTCAGTGTTGTGAAAGGGAACAGCAACATCACACCATGGTAAATGTTTTACTGCCCCAGCTTTATTTGGAATGTGTTGCAGACATCAGGATTGAAGTGAATGTTTATTTTGAACAAAGAATAAAATTGATGAGGTTTCACGTCAAATTTGCTGCTGTATAGTTTTCAATGTGATACAAGACACAGACGATTTACACATCACTATTTTCAGTTTTAATTTTGATTGTACATACTGTCCCAACTTTTTCTGATTTGGGGTTGTACTTGGAAGCGCTTTTTGTAAGTAGCTTTAGTTAAGCACACTAGATTTCTCCCTAGCTTTGCTATAGTTCAGCTTCTTCCATTGTGAAGTAATTGGTAGCTTGCAAAGCTGTGCTTTCCAAGTAGCTCCCCCAACACTGTCGCTAATGTTACCCAAAACAAATACATTAGCTTTAGATGCTAAAGCCTTCGCAAGAAAGAACGCCAAATCTGAATAAAATCTTCTGAGTCCTTTGGGTGCTTTTAATGCCTTCCATCTCAAAAAGTCAAACTGATGTAAACCCTGGTTGTTGCTTTTTGTCCCACTGTCTTTTTGTAAAAGAATACAACACAGTGTGGATATAACATGACAAGGTTGCAGACTTTGATGGAGGCAGATAGAGTTTAGTTCCTGTTTATTCCCAGGCACTGTTAGTGTTATTTACTCTGAAGCTGCAGTTACCTGTCAGTCAGCGAGATCAGGGAAAAAAAAAAACACAGAGTTACTGTAGCTAATGAATAAACAATGATTTGGGGAAAGCTGACTGGAAAACACAAAGATTTACTGGCTTGGTGGTTGGAAAAGTTGAAGGATGAGCTTAACTACTGCATGCTGGCTTGAAAAATATGGCACACACTCCTGTAGTGAAAATATTGAATAATAGATGCACAATAACCTTCATTAAATGCATGAATGTCCACAGATGATTTAAAGATTAACTGAACTTAATGCCTGACCACAAAGTGGTTCAGTGACTTGTAGGTGAACCCTGGAAAAAGCCCCACGAGAACATTTGCATCTTCCATGTCTCATAGCTGCCAGCAGGATCAAGCTAAAGAGATTATCAAAGCTGGCCTGTTATCAGTGGTAATTCTATTCAGATCTAGCCCACAACATCTTGAATGGTTCATATATATATTTATTTATTTTTTTAAGCAGACCCATTACACAGGCCTAGAGACATCAAGCCAAGATTATCTGGAGAGCCCATGTAGCCCAGTCTCAATATAATAAAGACGATAAAAATGGGGGAAGAAACGAAAGGACAAATTGGTGGGAACTGCCTGGTCACGTTGCGGAGGATACAGCCGAGTGACCACAATTGAAAAATGACTTCCCCGGCTGCTAGATAAGAGCTCACCCTAGTTCCCAGAAATGTTTTCTCCAAGCTCTGCAGACATTTTGGCTACACTAAAAAGAAGTAATATTGATGCTAGTGGGAAAACAGCCTTATTAGAAGGTGCGTCTCTCACATCCAGGCGTGCATCAAGGTAATGCTCCTACACTGTCAGCGACTTTACAATAAATCCAAAGCGCAAAGATGAAGATGGTGACCAACGTGACCAGGCACAGCACAGATAATTCCTCATGAAAGCTCCTGTGTAATTAACTTTGAACCATGTCCTTTGTTGGAGTTTACTTGTCAATTCAAAGATTTATTAATGACTAATATGATCAGACTTTGATCCAACTTACAATAGTGAACAAACAAATACAATCTATGTTCAAATAATAACACACAAATCATTGTATGGCCCTTTTCCATGTTCAATATATCAGTGAAACATTCACAGTTTAGGCTGGGAAACTATGTGAGCCCCTAAAGGCCACAAAGAGCCACTATGGAAAGACTGATCAAACTACAGCTGAATTAAGAACTACCCATATAATTTCCAATTTTAGGGCTTTGGTGGTGCAAAAAAGTATATTTGTACAGTTATTTCCCTGACAACTTAGCCTTAAACATTTCTGCATGCACTCTTATGCTAGACCACAATGCACTGCAAAAATATCAAATACTGAAACAAACAACAAACAATATACTAGGTGTATGAAAACTCACCTGGAGTGAAGGCTCTGTGAAACTGATAGATGTCCTCCCCTCTAAGCTCTTCAGCTATTTGACCAATTTTCTGCCTGACTCCATCCAGTTTTACATCTGCTTCGTTCAGAGCATCCTCTGCATCTGGCAAACTTCCAATCCGGAGAAAACCCACAGAAGAAAAGTTAAAAATACAAGATCTTCGAGTTACACATTACTTTAAAATACCAACCAAAACAGAGGTTATACTGTGTTATTCCACTGTCTGTAACACAAACTCTGAAACTGGGAACCACAACACAGACAAAACTTTGGAGTTGTCAGAGTAACCAGCTGAACACTGTTTATCATTTAAAGCATTTCAGTTTAATTCCATAACCTCCCTTCTATTACACCACCTCCATAACAATATTTAAAAACTGATGTAGACTGACCCAAATGTGAAAGATATATTAATGCTTTAAAGTTTTCTTTTTTACTTTGTTGATGATTATTTTGGGACATAACTGGAATTAGCTTTCATTAACCCCAGAAAACAGACTTCTGTTTCCAGAAAAGCAGAACTATTTAAATTAAATCTACTGCAATTACATGCAAGTCAGCAAATTGAGAAGCATTCTCCCTTTCAATCTGAATAAAGTGAAGAAATCTGTTATCCTTTTACAAATGAAACTGCAACATTTGTCATGTCTTTCTAGAACAGTACATACCTGGTCACTCTATGCAAAAGAAAAATGCTCCTCTTGCTTTCAATGGTAATGTCTCGGGAGATCTTAACAAGATGCTCATATTTGTCATGTTTGGTGTCAAGCTCCTGCTGGAAAACTTAAAAATTAAACAACAAATTAGTCTGAACACAAATATGTTTAAAACACTAATGAAATATTGCAACAACGTGGGTGAAAAAGGTAAGCTAAATGCAGCTGCAGTTGCCCAGCGGATGCAGTTACCTTTGAAAGCAGCAATGACAGGTAAGGACAGATTGGCCTGTGCTGCATCACAGATTTTCTTTGGACACCCTTCACCTGACACAAAGCAGAAAAAGTCAGGTGATGGTGCAGTTACCATCTAAACTCACGTTGTCAAATTAAAGAGGAACTCCATCAATTTTTGATAATCTATGCTACTGGTAGTTCAAGTCAGTTTTTAATCAAGACAGCAGCACAAATTCATTGGCCCCAGCTTCTCAAGAGAGTAAATGTCTTCTCCTTTCTTGTTCCTTTATGATAGTAAAGTGACAAAATTTGTTTTTGGACTGCTGGTCTGACAAATCAAGCGATCTCAAGACATTAGTTTGAGCTCCGGGAAAAGATGACAGGAGGGACCACTTACTAATAAACTGATTGCCTTGACTTAGTGTATGATCTTGGCAAATAGTACTATAATAAGAATAGGACAGACTGACGTTTTAATCATCAGTATACTACTTTTTTTTCTCACTGCAGTTCACTCTCAACAGCTATCACACTGCATGCCAGTTTTATTAACTTTATTAACAACAACACCTGCATGAAAACGTGATTATTCTTCGCTTAGTCTCCAAATCTAGACTTACCTTCGCGGTTACTCATGCCTTCGGTGTTGCAATTTATTCCTCCAATCGATTTAACTATGTTAAACTCGGTCAGGCTTAACTCTATATATTAACAGCCTTAGCTACTAATGTCCGAACTGCCAACCAGATATAATGCTAGCAAAGCACTGCAACTGAACGCTTCTTTACATCTGTCAAGGATTATCTAGGTCATACGACAAACCAGGTCAGAAAAGTGACCATCACTGACCGATAATAAACAGACTAAATAGAGTCTAAACGTTCTTCAATACGAAAACAATCGTGTTATTCGTTTTTCACAACAGGTATTCATGCTGGTCTCGTATCATCATGGAGCTTTTGCGCTGTTTACACGTGCAACCGGAATTGAGGAGCAGTGGATTATGGGAGATGTAGTAACGCAATAGAAAGTGGCATTTGTTTAATTACAGGTTTTCCACCTTTCTAAAGTCATATAAACCCACGTGCTTTTAAAAAATTCTATTGATTTAAATCATAAGCTGGTCAAATTTGTATTGTCATTATTATTATCATTGTTGTTGTTATTATCTTAAGATGCTCAACCAGTCTTGAAATATAAGTAAACCAGTTAGGCCTATACTTTTATATTTGGCTGTTTTTCTTTTTTTAATGAAACATTGTGTTGTATTTGACTGTTGCGATTGCTGTATCGACACTATACTCTCGGTACAGAAGCAGTGTCTTATATTTTAATGCTAATACTTTCGGACTTTTGCTAAAGTACATTTTTTGTATGCAGGACCTTTAACTATAACACTGTATTTTTACACTAAGTAGTACTTTTGCTTAAGTAAACGATGCAAGTACTGCTTCCACCACTGCATCTGGGAGTGGCACGACCTTGCTGTTGCAGCCAAAAGCACTTCTGTTTCAAAACCCAGATTGAGCAACCAGTCTTAGGCAGTCGGCCATCCTATACTGGTCAGTATCATTTGCCCACTAGTAAAGTATGGTTCATCCAACCTTTCTTGATCAGATTACTCGCTTCTTTCCAGAAACCCCTCCTCCAGGGACTCTTGCAGACTGTGTACGTGCAACACGACTGGTGCCATCTTAAGCTTGCGCTTTGCCCCTGCTGCACAGCACACCGCTACTCCCTGTCATCCAGAAACCCGTTGCATTTATTAGTGTGGCGGGTAATTAACCCCAGAGATCTGAATAATTACATCTTTATCTGAACATTAGTGTATACTTCATAAAAATCAAATCGGATTTTGTTACAGTATACATTTCGACAGGCGATTTCACTCCATCTTATCCACCACCATGAGCTTCATAAGCCGCCCACTAACCCACCAGTCAGTCTAATCATAACAGCAGCAAAAGCATTATGAAGAGGATTCTTTTGTTGTGAGAAAGGAATTTCACATATGCGAGCCCGGAATGAGGGCAAATCACTGACGTTGACTAGTGATGCCTTCAGGCTCCCTTCAAGTTCAAGTTTTACATCTGCTTGGTGTTCAAAGCCTCCTATGGAATAATAATAACAGTACAGCTGCTCTTATATAGCTTTTTACAAGCTGCGGTACTGTTTATAAATCAAGTCGTACACAGCTGTTTTGTGCTACTGTAAGAAGTAAGTGTGCATCACGAATGTCAGTGGTTCTCCAAGCAAAAGCTGAAATGGGCTACAGTACATCACTTGTCCTTAAGTAAAAGTGAAATTCCACATTGTAAAAAATGTAAGTAGCCTAATTCAAAAGACAACATAGTAAAGCCACTATGGGCTCAGCCAAGTATTATGAAGTATTAAAAATAAAATTACTTAGCCTATCATGTAGGAAATGTCATTTGAGATTGTTATATAATTTTATATATTCTGAATATCTTATTGTATTCTATTGTAAATACAGATGCATTAATGCTGCCAAAAATATAATATGTCTGGGGGGGTCTGTTGTTTATTTCATTTTTTTAGTGGTTATGGCTTTATTGGGGTGGCTGTGGCTCATGAGGTAGGGCAGTCGTCTCCTGACCAGCAAGTTGGTGGTTTGACTCCTGGTCTCCCCGCATGCCTAAGTGTCCCTGAGCAAGACACTGAACCCCGAATTGCTCCCGGTGGCTTGACTGGCACCAGTGCATGGCAGCCTGTCGTCATCGGTGTGTGAATGGTGTATGATCTTCTGTAAAGGGCTTTGGCCAGTGCAACACACTGTGAGAAAGCGCTATATAAAATACAGTCCATTTATTTCATATGTTATGTTTTTTTGTCCCCCACAAACTCACCCACAAACTGTCCACACTAGGTCTGCACCCCACCCTCTGTGACTGGCTCCTGGACTTTCTGACTGGCAGGTCCCAGACTGTCAGGATTGGCAATAGTACTTCAGCCAACATTGTTAGGAACACTGGCACCCCACAGGGATGTGTCCTCAGTCCCATCCTCTACACCCTGTTCACCCACAACTGTGTTGCCTCCCACAAAGACAACATCATCCTAAAGTTCATGGACGATACCGCAGTGATAGGTCGTATAATTGGTGGGGACAAAGCAGCCTATAGGAGGGAGGTGGCCAGTCTGGTGTCATGGTGAAAGGACAATAATCTCAGCCTCAACATGGACAAGACGAAGGAGATGACGGTGGACACAAGGAAGGAGAGGAGAACTCATCAGACACTGTTCATCCGGGGGATCAAAGTGGAGGGGATGAGCA